AGGTTTATTAATAAATGAGTATATGTGGATTTTATAGGCTCTAAGGGTGGGCATGAGAGGTCCCCAGTTTTATTTTGATCAGATTTCATTATGATCTGTGACAATAAATGATACATGATCTATGTCCTCTGATCCCACAATAATGATCGCTTTGCCACTTCATTAAAAAGCTTCGCAGTTTGATTATAGTGGCATCAATTTTGTAATATCACAAGGAAACTTATATTCAACTGGGTTGTATAATAATTATGTTCAACTAGGTTGACAATGATTTGGATACAGCCACTTGGTTGCAGACATTTGTGTTTTAATTATATAGATTGACCCGTCCACCCACCCCCACCCACCCACTCTTGACACCATGAACCTTCTTTGCTTTGTATAACCTTCGACTTTGAGTTTCACTCAATATGATAAAATTAAATTAGTCATGTAACAAAATCGAATTTATCACATGATAAATTTGATTTTATCACATTTCTCATGACACAAAAGTGATAAATTCGATTTTGTCATGTGATGAATTCGATTTTATCTCATTATATCTATACTAAAAAAAATATAATAATAAATAAAATAATAAAAATAATAAAAAATATAATAAAAAAATAAAAAAATTAAATAATATATGAAAAAAAAAATTCAAACAAACCAAAATTGGGTTCATTTGAATCCAATTCAGGTCCAAGTGAACCCAAATCAGGTTCACTTCAACCAAACCCAGGCTCAAATAAACACAAATCAGGTTCACTTGAACCCAATCCATGTTCAAATAAACCCAAATCAGGTTTAATTCAACCAAATCCATGTACAAAAGTGAATCTAAGACAGATTCACTTGAACCCAATTCGGGTCCTGAGGTCTTGAAAGGTAAACATTTCACTCAAGTTACTGATATTAACAATTTTGGGAATTATTATGATAGAAATATTAACTGGCCAAAAACTTTTCGATGGTTGCAATTTTGATGCTGAATTAGCAGCAATGATCTGTCATGGATTACGACCTGGGTTTATTATAAGAACACCAAGATGGTATGTTCAATTGTGCAAACGATGTATAGAAAGACTAGCCTCCGGAACATCGCCTGGGCCTGAGAGCTAGAAAACAAAAATTTAAGAACTTAAAAGCTAGAAAAAATTGAATCTGCGCTCCCGGGGCATCGCCCGGGGTTGAGAGCTAGTATAACCCTAATTATTTATTTTTAAGATTGAACCCCCAAGAATTGTTGGCATACCGATTTATTATAATAATGCGTATGATCCATCTATAGCGTAAACGGACACTAGCGAAATATCCAACCCACAGTCTTTTAAAAATATTTAACCTATTTATTTAAGAACAACCGTCACTTCATAACATATAAAACTGGCAAACGGTAATATTTAATAGTCAATCATATTTTTTTCTGAATTTAATAAAAAGTAACTATACAAATGTTTAAGCAGAAAATCTCGATATTGGAGTTTTACGCGTAAATTTAATTGCAAAACAACAACACATTGTTCTCTAGATCAGATGATCGATCTAGGTTAGATTTTGTTATGCTTACCTTGCAGATAATAACATATTCTTATACATCCTATTAAGATTCTTTATTGTTATGCTTACCTTGCAGATAATAACATATTCTTATACATCCTATTAAGATTCTTTATTGTTATGCTTACCTTGCAGATAATAACATATTCTTATACATCCTATTAAGATTCTTTATTGTTTTTACTAATTGTGCATTTGCAGGGTTTAGTTTTGTTAAAATTTTTTTTATTTCTTATCGTTATTGTTATTAAACACCTTTATTCTTACATGATGTTTATATACATTATTTTTTTCAAATGGATTTTACAGTAAAATGTAGTGCATGGACGTTCTCAATACTATAAATATAGGATATTTATATCTTATCAGGTTTTGTTATAGATGTTATCCTGTTTAATTTAATAGCGCAATTTTTTAAGTAATAAATAATACTATTAGAATTATGTTTATGATCGCGAAGAGCTTATTCTGTACTAAATTTATGCAAGATTTTTTTTTTGATAATACGCGGGTGGCTTCATAGACGAAATTTGAATTAAGCTATACCTGGCCTTGTAAATTGGTCTAAATCCATGGTGATTAAACCATTTCACCAAAAACCTGTATTTGTTAGGCTTCATATTTTTTATCAAGGGTAATCTATGCAAATTAATGATGCCTGATGAATTTATTTTTGCGATGACTAATGGATATTAGTATTTAAAAATTCGTACTATAACTAAAATTTCATGCTGAAACTTTTAATTAAAATTCGCATAGTGAAATTTACGACTTCCTACATTTTTTCATTTTTTTTAAGTTTGTTTTATTACACAATTTGTAATTCTTTGGTTCATAAGTTATTCAGAGTACCCGCATGAGCTTTGTCAGATTTCGTCAATCGTCAATTCATCATTTAGAAATCACCTTAACGAAATGTTTCGTCATTTGTCAGACATCATTAAATAGGGATTGCTCAAAAAAATAACTCCTTTGAACACTTCAAATTCCTTGTTACATAATTAAAATAGAAAAATTATTCATAATACATAATTAGTAGTTTAATAAGACTTGAATATCTACTGACATAATACAATGATATTCTGGAATCGTTTTTTTCAAAAAAAAAAAACAAAAACACACAATATTAATGTCACTATTCATATCTTAAATCTTAATAAGTTTATTTAAATGCATATACCGTTAGATCTCACTATTAGAGATCATAGTAACTTTTAAAAAATGTGCTTATAATAAGATCGTACTTATTTAAAGAGTATTTCGTACATCCATAAAGTGAAGTCTTATATGATCATACATTCATATCAAACATTCATAAAGTGAAGTCTCTTATATGATCGTACATTCATATCATACATTCATAAAATGAAGTCTTATATGATTATACATTCATATCATACATTCATAAAGTAAAGTCTTACATGATACTTTTAGATGAAGTAATTACGTTGAGGCTTGATTACTAAGCCTTTCAAGATCTTATTTTTAACTTAATGCAAAGGAGGTGTAAAAGTATCATTAAGACTTTGTTTGTTCGCCCTGATATTCAGAAACAGGACCAAGGAAAAAGGAAACAATTGTACAGATGATTAATGCTCCCACAGATGCCCACAAGCAAGCACCCAATTCAATATAATAATATAATACACCACCCAAAATTAATCCAACCAATCTTCCAAAAACATTTGCCATATAATAAAGTCCGACATCCATGGCGACCTTATCTCTATGACAATATGCTAATATGAGAAATGAATGAATTGAAGAATTTATGGCAAAAATACAAGCTAAAATAAACAATCCGGTTACCAAAATTATCAATAAAAACGTAAAATGTGTTTCAAGGGTAATGAATTTTAGGAATAATGCTATAAACATAGTTACTAAGAATAATAGAACTGTGAACGGTACTAATATACGTCCATTTTTTACAGGATATATTTGAAGTGGTTTTAGAATCAGGTAAGGGGTGATGAATTGTATCATTTCAGAAAGTATTATCCAACTGGCAAGGAGTGCACCAGTGCTAAAATATGGCCTGCGATTAAATAATGCAAAAATTACTGATTAGTAATTATTGTTTGATTTTACATAAAATATCATGTAACATTTCGTACCATCCAACTTGTCCTATTAGATAAAGTGGTAAAGGTACCTAAATGAAAATTTTAAGAATACGTATCATACATATAACATGATAATGAATTCACTATACCACTCGGTAAATTGTAATTAGTTACCACAAACCAGAGATCGCGTGAACCAGACAAAAACATTCTGGCCATTGATAAGATATTTACATCTCTTCCCTAGATTGAAGAAAATAACAGATTTATATATAGAATGCATTTGTATGTGCGTGCATAGTGATAATACCTTATCAAAAATTTCTTTAAATGTCATCTGTTTCTTCGATTCGCTAACGGCCAAATCATGATCGAAATAAATCAATGCGAAAATAATAATCATCAAATTTATAGCCACTAGTATGAACAATGCAGGAATATAATCCATATATTGTAATAAAAATGCACCCAAAAAGACTCCAACACCTTTTACAGAATTTTTTGCATTTACGATCCAAGTTACCAATTTGAATATTATTGACTGTTGAGGGTTGTCATCTTTTGTCGCTAATTTTATTACAGATTTACAACCTAATTTGACCAAATCTTTGGCTATTCTACTATATCCTTGAGCAATAGTAGCATATATTATGATTATTGATGAATTCCATGAGTTCCAGTATCTTTGTAGGCCGCATAGCATTGCAATTCCAACAGTATGAATAAAATAACCAGAAACAAGAAGGGCTTGAATACCTAGACGTGATTCCATAATATTGCCAGTAAGGTTTGTAATGACTCCAAAAAATTCGTATAATGTAAACACAATAGATATTTGTAACGCCTATATTCCAATACCATGTATTTTTTTCATTAACACTGGTAAAATAAGAAAACTTAACTGAAAAAATTTTGATAAATACATTGAAATATCGTTTATATAGTTCCAGCAGCACAATCATCCGAAGGCTAGAATCTGTAAGTATAGAAAATATATATCCAAACGAAGTTATATAAAAATTTCTCGTAGCCACCACATTGTTACTTTCTTTTTTCAATTCTGGAGATCTCAAATTTTCTTGGCCGTTCATTTTATGGAGTTCAATATTTTCTTCATTCTGTTGCAAAGAAGTCAAAATTATGTTAACTTCAGTAACCGGCTCGTAATTCGTTGATTCAAGCTGTATTTCTGATTTTTCTGACATTTTGTGAAATTTTCATAACTTGCTAGGGTCGAGGTTTATGTGTAGCACCAGGAGAAAGCCTATAAATAAAGATTTTGAACTTATCACCTTACGGGACTTATCCCCATCGTTACAAGAATTTCAGAAAATTTAATAGCCAATTAGAAATCTTATTAAAACAAACCTCCATTCTCTGCTATCATATTACGTAATATAAATATTTTATTTTGCACCTAGAATGATTAGAATCAGACTCTGGGCTTTTGTGGTACATTATTTAAATGTTATAATTTTTGCATTATCTTTTTTAAGAATTGCAATAATATCGAATTGACATAGAATGAAAATTGGAATTAATAATTAGAATTAATAATTAGAATTAATTTCTTCAATACAATTGGCTATTTGAATTAAAAATTAATGTACATCCTTGAACAAACAAACATTCTTTTTGTGTGTTATGTCGTAATCATGTTTATTCGTATTAAAATTTAGGTAGCCAATGACGACTTGAGAATTATAATCGTGAATTGAATAATTATTTAAATATCATAAAATTTGTCCAATCGATCAAATGAATGGCTGGGTGTGCCGCTGCGGCCAATCATTTGCCTGATTAGACAAATTTTTTCAATATTAATCGAATATTCTACCGTGGTGCATTGATCAAAGTAACCGCCGTGAAAAGTAATGCAGATCAATTTTTACAGTATTATTTATATGTGACATGTGATGTAAATAATTGTGTAATACATGTGATTTTATGAAAAAAAATCGTGTCACGCCGGATGCTTTGTTCAATGCACTACGTTACTTCATAATGATGGGTACGCGGTAAATCAATGCCATATGGTCATATTATAATTTTTTTTTAGATAGTGATCAATGGGTAAACAGTATAACAATTATATAAATTTTAAGTAGATGCACATCCATAACAGTATTATGTTTTTTACAAACAAAATTATGGCGCCATTTTTTTAACAAAGAAACTAAATTAAGTTCTTTATTTCCTTTTTTTTTTTTTTTAAGAAAAAAAGAAACGTTGTGCATTTTAAAGTTTTTACGTTAAAGCAAAAGAAATGGCTCTATGGCTTTACATTTAGGGACATAATACTGGTCTTTGTAAAATTTTATCCGAATCTATCAAATCGTTAGGGTTGTGTGTAGTGATGGGCGCGCAACTCACGTGACCTGACGCAACTGCTCACGTGACCCTTAAAACATATGTTGCGTCATGGTTTCGTCAGGCCCCATCAGTTGCGTCACCCATCACTAGTTGTGTGTCTATAACCAGGAACTTGGTGGAACGGAATGTATTTAGAAGCGCAGACATATTTACGTAATAAGGTCATAACTATATAAAGCTTATTTTTAATGTAACCTAGTTATGACCTATTACGTAAACATGTCTGCGCCTCTAGTTCAATTTGAGTTTTACGTTCGTTCACAAAATCTTGATTCTGATTGGATGTAGTAATCTAGTGATTTTTTTGGCACAGAACAATGATTTAACGTAAATTACATGATTTTCATCATTTAAATCTATTGGTTGTTAATATGTAAACATCAGAGGTCATTTCATTAATAAAACAATATTATAGTAAATTCTAAATGGTAAATTCTAAACTTTAATAACTCGTGAACTATTAATATTGTACTTATAAAATTATACTTATTCGAATCATTTTAATTTGCCCTTTATTGAAATAGATCAACTTTTATTATTTTTATAAATTAAAGCATAATTTAGCAATAAAAATTTACTTTTTATCAATCGCCCATTATAATAGCTCTATTTATTTAAGGATCATGATAAAAAGATTCGAATATGATTTTATAGGTATATATTTATTAGTTTACGAGTAGGGCTTGTAATCAATTCTAAAATCAAAATCGATGATCAAAATCTTTAAATCGACTTTCCTGATTAAATTTTATCTGTTTTATATTATTTAATGGTTTTTAATTTATTTACAGTCGTACCTGAGTTATATTCCATATTCAAGCAAGATAAAATTTACTTTTTTTATGTTTTATATATTTTATATATTGAGTTGTATCATTTCTTAGCTATATCTTCAAAAATTCTCTGAAAAAAATATAACCTAGATATGACTGTATTATCAATTAATAAAGTACGTTGCTATTTTTAAGCTGATTTGTTTAGTTTCAGTTGCAGTTATAGTAATAATATAATATACTAACTTTTATTTTATTTTTTTTTATTTTTTCATCTTCAAATGTATATGATAATTTTTATAAATTATTTGATTATATATAGTTAAATTATTTTACAAATTTTGTACAAAAATAAAACTTAACAATAGATATACCTATCTAATTTATCTGTAATTTAGCTCTACTAGAGTAATTAAAACTTGTTAAATTTGATAAAGTAAAATATATTTAGTTAGGATATGTTATTTTATCTAGTTTATTGTCTATAAAAATATTTTTTGATTTTTCAAATAGTATTAGTATCTTGTTAGTTAGATAAACTATAATAGTAGCTTTAAATTTGTTTGTAAAAGTTTATATTATATTGTTATTTTTATTTAGATAGCTTTGTATAGTATAATTTTTAGATTTAATTATAAATATTTTGTAATAATTATAAAAATAACTATATATAATTAAACCTCTCAATAGTCTTATCTTTAAAATACAAAATTTATAATTATAAAAAGGTGTACCTAATTGTCCAGAGTGAAGCAGAGAACTTATATGTTTATGTACTTTGATAACTGAAATTACAATTTTGATGCAGCTATAATAATAATATCAAAAATGTAGTTTTGCATTTTCTATTTGTAACACCTCTGAAAATTTTGATCTGTGATATATATAACCAAATTTTTTAGAGGTTAGAGCCATTAATTGAATGCTGTTATGGGCTTTAGACTTATACCAGTTTCCAGTTCTTAGTATAGAGATATTTTCTATATAGTTATATATAATCAGTAAATATAATTTATAATTATATTAATTTGTAACTATAGAAAAAGTGTTTATAAAGGGAGTTGACTGTAGTACTATTAACTACTATTTTATATTTTTAGATACAATAATCTAATAGATATAATAAACAGCTTTTATATTAATTTAAATGGTTGAAAATTAATTTTGACGCACATCACTAACTCTTCCTGACAATCACTTGTACCAAATTTTTCTTGAAAACAATTGCTATTTTCTCATAATTTTATTAAGTAAACCATCTTTGGCTGTCTAAGTAAAGTTGTTCTATACTTAATTTTACTTATAAGCAGCCTAGTTTTATAGCTCTATAGTCCTCTGCTACTGAGTTATAACTATATATTTGAAATTTGATACTTTTGCTATTTACTTAAAATTTTATTAAGTAAACCTCTATTGCCCCTTAATAGAAAAAGAATAAGCTTCAAAAGAGCTTCAATTTGATATATAATATATTAAAAACAGACAGATACTTTGGATTTTATTATTAAAATATTACAAAACTCATTTATTAAAACTTTGCTTAATTTTTACAAAATTTTTTTTCTGTTTCTTGGGTGATTCCAGCTCCCCTAGGACGCCCCAACTTGCAGATCAAGATTACAAATCAATATTATTAATCAAATTACACAATTCTAACTCTGTTTTATCTATTTTAAACAAAAAGCCTTCTTACTATTTTAGTTCTAATTAACTTTACACAAATTTTGCACCCCGGTGATCATATCGATTTGCCGATCATTACACTAGGTGATATCTTATTTGGCACATTCTCTAACTGTTACATCCCTTATTTGTCACATTTCTTATTTGTCATACTCCTTATTTGTCACACCTCCTTACTGAATTGACCAAATCTTTAAACTTTCGACAATGCCTACTCTTATTACTCAAGAACCAGATTCTTATAATTTGGACTATTATTATAAGAACTACTCTGACTGCTATGGACTAGGTACTACAAAAAGTAGATTCAGTACACTTCGAGTTCTTCCACCAAGCTTCAAACCTGAATCTTGTGAAACTATCAAGAAACAACATTTTTTTCTGTACCTTTACAACCTTCTATTGGCAAATGCTATTGTAGAAAATTTCATACTAGTTTTATTTCTGCTAATTACAGGATCATACATACTCAACAAACTGCAACTACCGAACAACCCAATACCTCTCTATTTAGCATCTCTGATTCTCAATTAAGAAAAAATGAAGCTCTTCCAAAATCTCATTTAAGAGAACCTCCAGCCCAAAATGTATCTCAACAAACTAATCCTCCTCAAGCTACTTCTCGCATTCTATTTCCCAACTTTGGAACAGACCTCATTCATAACACTATCATACTTGTGTCATCTGTAGAAACAAAACACTTCCTTGCATTACTACTGTCACGGGTTAATTCGGTACCCCGGGATTTCGTGGTGACGGGTTTGGTCTGGATCGGGATACGTAAATGGCGTGATCTGGATTTGCATAAGTGGGGTGATTCAGATCTGCATAAAAGTAATTAAAAGTCTAATCTAGTGATAG